GGGAGGATCGCGAGCCGGGCGGGAAGGAGACTTTCTTTTCGCGGGGACCATCTATTCAGCCAGAAAGACCAGAGTCTTTCTGTGCGAGAACAGCGTTTCTCAGCCTCGGCTGCTTTAATGTGTGTGGACTTCAACGCCGAGAATTCCCCAGCAGCTGAGGTGAAGAAACGCTGCACGATGCCATTTATTCCCGCTGCTTCCAGACATCAGTAGGAGTATGTCCGAAGATGGTTCACAATTGCACCAGAATTCTGGGATTTCTAAACAGTCCAAGTACACCGCTTTAATTTTGCATGGTATCTGATGCTTCTTGTGTGTTTCGCATCTGTGGACTTCACAGATTAACGTGGCCTGAAGGTGCAATGGCAAACAACAGCTCTTTCAATGATGTAGTAAGTACACATGACAATATTAGTGATAGAAATACCCTGCATTGGGCACCAAAGAGTTGGGAATATCTTGACCTGTCTTTTTCACGCTTTGCTTTGGATACAGGCATACAAAACATGAATTTGCACCCTCTGATGTTCAGGGGAGGGAAAACAGATGAAGGCAGTAGAACAAATAGGTAAATGTTTGAGTCAATTTGCTCATAACCGATTCAGTTGTAAGGCTGTCCAGTTGCTTAGAAACACGTGTGGGTGCATAAGCAACACTTGCCTACAACCCCTTAAAGCAAATGCCTCTTTTCCTGGGATTCCGCTGCAGCTGCAGAAAGTGGTAGCAGAGGGCTGGGAAAAGATGCAGTTGCTTTAAGAGACTGCAGACAGGCTACATACGTATCCCAAAGCATCCTTTCCTCTTAAGCATTACACAGCCATATTCTTTTAGAGTGTTTGGACGCCCCTAAAAGCAGGCCGTTTTCATTGTATGCAGTATGTTGGCACTGTACATGGAATAGCAAATTCAGCAGTTTCTGCTCCTATAACTCTGAAGTACAGTCATGTGAAAAAAAATAAATACACCTCATAGAAATTTTTAACTTTTTCAATGTATTTCAACATCTATTTGATCTTCATTTCAACAATACTGATAAAGGGGATATAATATAACAAATATTATGCACCATTTACATTTTGTAGTCCATTGTGTAATTTAAATAAACATCAGTACAAATTTCACATGTAGAAAAAAGTAAACACACCCCTACATTTATCACTACTTCAAATTAGAATTAGGTACACCACACCAGATGCAAAGGATTAGAACATCATTAGAGAGGACCTGAGAGATAACATTAGGGGAAGGCTAAAGTTTGTCCATGAACACCTAGGCAAAGGCCAGGCCTTCTGGAATAATGTGTTCTGGATAGACGAAGCAAAGATAAGAGTTATTTGGCCACAGTACCAGAAGACGTGTTTGGTGAAAACCAAAGACAGCATTTCATCCGAAGAACCTGATCACAACTGTAAAGCATGGTGGTGGAAATGTTACGATTTGGGGCTGCTTTGCTGCATTGAGGCCGGACGGCTCACCATCATAGAATCCATTATAAATAGTTCATTGAACCAGAGGGTACTTGAGGATAATGTGAGATCCTCACTCAGAAGATTGAAGGTCTTGAAAGTGCACCTTGCAACATGACAATGACTCTAAGCATACCAGTAAATCCACCAAGGAATGGCTGAAAAAAAAAAGGAGGGTTCTAGAATGGTCAAGTCAAAGCCCGGATCTAAATCCCATCAAGATGCCATGGAGTGATTTGAAACAGGCTGTGCATGCAAGAAATCCCTCAAACATTGCACAGCTGAAAAAATTCTGAGTGGAGGAGTTGGAAAAACTTCCTCCTAGTTGATGTCATACACTGGTAGGCAGTTATAACCAACACCTACTTCAGGTGATTTCTGCCAAAGGGGGCAATGCCAGGTATTAGAACAAAGGGTGTACTTTTTCCACAAAAGGAAATGGCCACCAAGGAATGGCTGAAAAATCTGTTCGTTCTGTGTTAATTTTTTGTTCAATAAATGATTGCAAAGTCAATTTTCATGGGTTTTTTTTGTTCAGTTACATCACTTTTATCTTTATATACTGTTTGAATGAAAATAAAATATTGATATGTCCACATATAAATAATATAAATAAATAAAGGATGGCACATGTAACATCTTTGCTGCAGGAGCTGCATTGGGTACCAGTTTGCTTCCGGGTCCACTTCAAGGTGTTGGTTATCACCTTTAAAGCCCTACATGGCATGGGGCCAGATTACCTGAGGGACCATCTCATCCCCACGATTTCAACCCGTCCCACCCGGTCAGGCAGAGGGCATGTTGCAGACCCCATTAGCGAGAGAATGTCGGCTGGCAGGGCCCAGGAAGAGCGCCTTCTCTGCCGTTGCCCTCACCCTTTGGAATATTGTCCCCCCAGAGTGGCAGCAGGCCCCTACCCTCCGGCTTTCTGAAAAGGTTTAAAGACCTGGCTCTGCCTGTGTGCATGGGGCAATATGGGCTCTAACCATCCTTGGGGGTGGTTAGTGCCCTGACAACACTCCCTTGAATTATTCACCAACTTTCCATCTTGCTTAGAAGCCATTTATTCATTGTTAGGACTGTTTTATATTGTATGTTAATGAATTTTATCTCTGCTGTAAACCACCCAGAGTCGTTTCGAGATGGGTGGTGACAAATTTGATAAATAAAAATAAGTTAAAACAGAAAAAAAGTTTACATGCAGTGTACTAACTTTTTCACGTGACTGTAGATAAAAGGGAACAGAGGAAGAGAGGAGGAAAATGGGAGAGGAATGAAACTGGTTGTCATCCTGTTCAGTACTCAATTTTCTTGGAATGTCTACTGAATTCAGCATACATAGTTTTATGCTGTAACTTTTTATATTTATTTTTCAATTTTTCTTCCGAACTATGGAGATTTCTGATTTATTTTTCAAATCACACTCATAATCAGTTGAATCAATTGCTGTGGAAATATTGTAAGCCCAAGTCACTTTCCTTCCCGTTCTGTACAGGTGAAACTCGAAAAATTAGAATATCGTGCAAATGTTCATTTATGTCAGTATTAGAATATCGTGCAAATGTTCATTTATGTCAGTATGGCAACTCAAAAGGTGAAACCAATATATGAGATAGTCACACTATTCTAATTTTCTGAGATTGTGAATTTGGGGTTTTCATAAGCTGTATGCCATAATCATCACAATTATACCAAAGTAAGGCTTGACATATCTCGCTTTGCATGTAATGCGTCTATCTTTAGAATATCGTGCAAATGTTCATTTATGTCAGTATGGCAACTCAAAAGGTGAAACCAATATATGAGATAGTCACACTATTCTAATTTTCTGAGATTGTGAATTTGGGGTTTTCATAAGCTGTATGCCATAATCATCACAATTATACCAAAGTAAGGCTTGACATATCTCGCTTTGCATGTAATGCGTCTATCTTTAGAATATCGTGCAAATGTTCATTTATGTCAGTATGGCAACTCAAAAGGTGAAACCAATATATGAGATAGTCACACTATTCTAATTTTCTGAGATTGTGAATTTGGGGTTTTCATAAGCTGTATGCCATAATCATCACAATTATACCAAAGTAAGGCTTGACATATCTCGCTTTGCATGTAATGCGTCTATCTTTAGAATATCGTGCAAATGTTCATTTATGTCAGTATGGCAACTCAAAAGGTGAAACCAATATATGAGATAGTCACACTATTCTAATTTTCTGAGATTGTGAATTTGGGGTTTTCATAAGCTGTATGCCATAATCATCACAATTATACCAAAGTAAGGCTTGACATATCTCGCTTTGCATGTAATGCGTCTATCTTATCTCATATATTGGTTTCACCTTTTGAGTTGCCATACTGACATAAATGAACATTTGCACGATATTCTAATTTTTCAAGTTTCACCTGTATACTGTATGTGTATGAACCATTGTATGGGGGAAAAATGGGAAATACAGTTTTTAGGCTGCATCCAGAAAATGTAACTTCAAAATCTTGGGAATTGTACCACTTTATATGGTATTGCTCAGACCTGGCCTCAGGAACTGTGGTGTTCTAAGCACATTTTAAGAATGATTCAGAAAGAAGAGATGAGAACCAGACATTGCAGGAGGAGAGCTGTGTTAGTTTATTGTAGCAAAATATCAGGAGGAGGATGGTAGTACCTTTTCTGACTGACAGATTTGATTCAGAGGTATAACATTTTGTGGGTTTATGCCTTTGAATTGGAATTGTTAGTCGGAAAAGGTGCTACCAGACTTCTCCAGATTTTTAGAACAGAACTAGCACAAGTTTGGAAAAAGGTAAAATAATAATCAGAGGATAAGGAATGTAGTCCTACAGAGAGAGAGAGCGAAGGAGATAGGCAACTTAAAAGAAGATTAAGTGGGGATACAATCGCATTCTTCAAATGTCTTGAAGGGTATCACAGAAAAGGAGGAGAGGACCACTTCTCAATCTTCCCAGAATGCTGGATACAGAAGAATGGGTTTAATCTAGATGAAAGCAGGATTCTAACTGAAGTGTGGGAAAAACTCTAAGAGCAATTAAATGGTGGTGATGTTTTGGCTGGATTTACACATCATCTTAAACCATGGATTATTTAACTATGGATTACTGAATGTGCCATGAAGGCCGAGTTCACTTTTCATGCTAAGCAAGAAAGCAATGGCTTTAGAAACCACAATGGTTGGGCTCACACAGCATGCTAAATAAAACAACATAAGCCATTATAGCTTAGCACAATTCCTAAATTATTACTGATTAAATAGCAACTATACAGTTCATCCCAGCTACTTAATGGGGGGGGGGAAAATATCAACAGTGCTCCACAATAAAAGTGCACACACGTCTTTACAAAAACCAAAATAATCTTTATTTACTTTTGCAGATGTCTGTCTGGACAAGACAATTTGCAAACATGCTAAGGCTATAAAATGTCCACCTGGACAAAGAAAAACAAACCAACCAACAAACATGCAGTGCTGACCAATTGAAACAGCTATTACAAGACTGACCATGCCCATCTGGGCTACTGGTCCCATACAACACAGATGGTGTACAGTAACCATGGTAACGTACAACACAGGACCAGCAACCTGAGGTAGGTCTCTTTACAATTAGAAAATAAAATTTCCTACACCAGTGTCAAACTTGATCAGGTGCCTGCTAAAAGCTGCAAGGTGTTGGGGATGTAACAATTTCAGTAACAAGTATGCAGGAGCAAAAGTTTGTGCACGTACAGAGTTGGATGAATGAATAACTGTTAGAAATATCAAAATATCTGGAGAACTGTCCAGAGTAAGCATTAATATCTCTAAATCTGCAACTCAGCAGAGAAACGCTATAGGAAGTAGCAGGGTCCAGTCTGAAAAAGATTCGCTGCTATAGCTCAGCAATAATGCTGGACGCTCTGGACAGGTGCTTTTGCTTAGCAAAACAGGAGTGGCTTGAATTTGCACTTGATAAAATATCAGCCAGCCAACCAACAGGGTCACCATGGTCTCTTTATTGCACCCGAGTGAATGGCCATGGGTTTGAAGGTACCTGAGGTGCTGTGGTAGCTCTTCACTTACTGCTACTGATAAGAGTTCATTAACAAAATCACCCAAAGGGAAAAAAGGTTAACCCCTCCAGGGGTCGGTACCATGGGAAACTGGGGCTCCTATCCATCTGTGCCAACGGTTTGTCAAGGTCCTTGACTGCTTGGATGCACCTCCGCCGTCTCATCAAGGTCCACACCCCTTGTGTAGGACAATGAAAATGCGGGAGGGAGGGAGGGAGGCCACACAAGGAAGTTGGGGAAAATCCAGCACCAAGAGCAAACCTGGCTGCAACAGACCAGGGAGACTCCAGTGCAGCCTGGCCAAAGCCAGATTCCCAACGCCATTAAATGGTACAAAAAAATGATAGAAAAGAATATGCACTGGTATTACCACAGCGCTCGTTTTAATATAAAATAAACAGCTTACATTTCCACTGTAAATATAGGCTATGTACAGTATTCTGTATAGATATAGCTACATGTATAAAGCTTCAATATAGGCCTCTGGATACATTTATAACATGGCTCCCTGAGCCATTTCGTAGAGTGCATTTAATAGCAAAAATTAGTAAGAAGAATATGAAATAAATACATAATAAAAACCATAAAGAATCCTCCTTACAGTACTTTTTTTTCCTTAAAAAAAGAACTCAAATCTTGACCCACGATCCTAAAAAATTAAGAGTGAAAAGACAACCTGCTTGAAAGACATGGAAATGGAGGAGGAGGAACCTCCCTGCCACAGGCAGAGAAGAATTACACTCCATATTAAAGTGACTTTGCCCTGAATTTTAGCCCTTTACAGCAACCTTATTTTCTGCAGCAGCAAACATGGCATAGAAGCGGGAATTCTCATTGGACAGAAGAGCGGATGGAGTATCAAATTCCACCACCTGAAACAAACGGAAGAGAAAGTTCAGGAAATACAGCACATTATAGCAGTAAATAGCATCACTGTTGAAAAAGGACCAAAAAGATCTCCTATTTTAGATAAAGGATTAAAGTTCAAGAGTCACAGCAAGTGACAGTTCCACTCTTTGCTAACCTAGGGGTAAAAAAGGCTAAGCAGGATGGTTCATTAGTGATTGGAAAGGAGTCCACCAGGAAACATCTCAGAAGAAGGCAGCAACCAGTCAATTCCATAATGCTGCCATGAGAAGTACAGGTTCATATCCATAAAGTCACTAGGAGTCTAGGTTGATTCCAGGAAAATCTAACATTTTGGAAACATCCCCACTAAGAGCTTGTTTACATTACAAACAAGGAAGACTGCTTCATTGCTTAGCTGCTTTTAAATGACTAGGATTTGAACCAAATTTCCCTTGCAAGAACTCTTTTATTTATATGAGAGCTGCAGAGTTTTGCCATCCCTTGAGAAACGGCTCCCGGATCCACAGTTTGAAAACCCTGGTTCTATGGTAATTTGTAGAAGAAAAAGAAGTTAGTGGCTCGCTCACCTGTCCTTGCATCAGTACCATAATCCGATCAGAGCCCAGAACCGTATGCAGACGATGAGCGATTGTCAGCATTGTGCAGTCTGCAAAGGCTTCTCTGATAGTCTCTTGGATCAGTAAATCAGTCTCGGTGTCCATAGCAGCTGTTGCTTCGTCCAGGATCAAGATCTGTGGAACACAGCATGAACCATTAAAAACATACAGCTACAATCCTTTCTTTGTACTTCCATTAGGACTAAAAGATTAGCAGAACACAACATGAAATACCTAAAGTGTTGAAAGTAAGAAGGGGGCTGGGGGGCACCATGGAATACAGCTCTTTTCATTTATCTAATAACAGCTTAGCCTGTGCTCAGTTGTCCTGCATCAACGTTGTTCACCCTAGAATATAAATAGGACCTGGAATTTTTGTTCTGAACCTGATTGAAATGATTGACCAATTAACCAATCCATCACTAGGTTATCCTGGAGAACTTGAACTAGACCAGTGTTTCTCAGCCTTGGCAACTTGGCAATTTCCCCAGCGTGGCTGGCTGGAGAATTCTGGGAGTTGAAGTCCACATATCTTCAAGTTGCCAAGGTTGAGAAACACTGACTAGATGGTGTACCCTCAGTGTATTTCTGATGAATTGTGAGCAATAAAGAAATGCCAATCTTGATTTCCCCCTCGGCCTTCAAGGGTAATGACTTTTTTTCATAGTATTGCCAACATAACTCTATAATATAAAATAATATAAAATAGAATAATACCTTTGTGTGGGCAAATTTCCTGCCCCACAGGCTATTACTTATTGTGCTTACAAAAACTGTGGTCTACTTCTCTAGTGCCTGCCCCAGTTTCAATTTACACGCTTGTCTGAACAGAGACACAGGCAACAATTCTGAGAATAATGTTCAAGTTGTCAATAAGTAAAAAAAAAGTCAGATTGAAGAGGATGCAGAAACATTAAAAGAACAATGCTGGATCAAGCCAACGAGGGACATCTGCAGGAGAGAAGGGGGTCAAAAGCGTTAAGATGGCAGACATGACTGTGCAGTCAAAGTCTTGCTCCTTTTTTACATATGATACCCATTAAAAACAGCAGGGATCCAATCGTGTGGCTGCCATCTTGACTTTTTTGACATACACACACCCCATGGATGCTCCTGAGGCCAACGGCCTATCATGTTTCCACTGTGATCAAGGATTCAGAAAACCCGTAAGCAGGGCAGGAGCACAACAGCAACCCTGCATTTGTGTTCCCCAGCTCAAGAGACTTAATGCTGTCTGAAGCTGCAGATAAAAATACAGCCATCGCTGAGTGTGTATTTGGAAAGCTAGCATGGTGTAGTGGTTTAGGCACTCAGCTAAGAGATGAGAGACCCAGGTTCTAGTCCTCTCAGGCACAGAAGCCAACGGATGACCTCACGCCAGTCATTCCCTCTCAGCCCTAAATCAGTGTCAGAGTCTGAAACACGCTGCCTGAAAATGCAAGCCCCTCATTACATCATGCACTGGTAATCTTGCTATAAGAACGAGGCAAGCACAGCACTAAAATTTTTCAAAGCTCAGACATGAGGACTGCTGCTCCATCTTCGAGGGGAATGGCTGATTTATTTTATTCATAAGGAATAAATTCATTGTAACATAAGCTTTCATGGGGGACTGTTGCCTACTGTACAAAAGCATATGCTTTAAAATGCCACAAAACATTTTGCTCTTTATATTGCTGTATCTGATACTCCATTCTATACAGACAAGTGTGTGAAGGAATCCTTCCCTTTGCAAACGGTTAGAGCAAAAGTTAGTGGTCTTCCTACAGCTTCTTCTCCAAGAGTAACCAGAAGAGAAGAACAATCTTCCCATTCCCCTAGCTTGTTGGACTGGGTTAGGGTTGTTTCAAAGCAACATTAATCCTAGACCAGGAATTAACCATGCAGCATTTCTGAGTGTCCTACACCCTCCCTAAATACATGTAATCCCTGTGATTTAAATTAAGAAAACAAAATTTAGGACTACAGGGAGCACGTCAAAACAATTCCTTGCTGCCATCTCATTTTCCCAGAATTGCTCAGAACAATTACTCTGAACAAGGACCCAGAGAAATTTTAAAAGAATAAAACCAGGAAAAAGAATATGTAAGTGAGCTGTGTTGAAGAACAAACCCCCACACCCCACAAAGTTTTGAGACTTTGTCTCGACAACTTGCAGAAAGCTAAACAGGATTCCTGCTGGATTGGTAGAAGAAATCAACCTGCAACTTGGGACAAGGTTAAAATGAATTATGGAAAATTATTTTCAGTCTTGGCTTCAGAACAAACTTCTCTAACAGTAGAAACTTTCTACACAAAGCTCACCTTACAACGACGCAACAAGGCTCTGGCGATGCAAAGCAACTGCCTCTCCCCAACGGAGAAATTTTCACCATTTTCCATCACTTCAGATTCAAGTTTCATGGGCAGCTGAGAAATCTAAGTGAGAACAAATGGAGCAAGTTCAAATGGATGGCTTCAAATGGTTGCAGGCGCTCCACCATCTTTTCAGAACACACCAGTTTATGAACTTGCAACAATGACCGAATGAACCTCTGATTTATCACAAGAGATAAAATCCTTTCCACCAGTGGGAACAGCATACAGAAAGAAGATACCCAAAATAAAGCAAGCATTTTACACTGCTGATTTTTAGAAATCTCCAAAGCAGATTACATCAGTCCATTCAATCAAGAATGCATACAATATTTGACCTGGTATGTCACTAGAAGTGAAGGTGATTCTGATAATGGAGGTTTCAGCACTGAGGATTTGTAATCCAGACCTATTTTTAAAATGTATAGACTACTTGGAAAGAGGAAGAAAGCCAACAACTATCACAGAAACGCGCACATGTGGATTCTTTTCACTCTCCCCTCTCTTCTCCTTCCAGCCCATGGAAAGGATTCTTGAATAGCACAGCCATTTTCTGCTGCAGAAAAGCTGGCAAGATCTTGCAAGTTATGGTCACAGTGGGGCACTGGAGCAGATGGGAATTTGGCTACCAACTCCTGCACTTACACAGTCTTTCATGTGAGTCCTTTCCAAAGCCTCCCAGATTTGCTCTTCACTGTACTGTGTAAAAGGATCCAGATTAGATCTAAAAGAACAAAAATATAATAGCAGATCACTACCTGTTTCCATCAAAATATAAACCATGGAAACTAAATATGTTTCAAAGTTAATTCAAGGACAATTTTATCTTGTATAAAGTAGAGTGAACAAAAGGAAGGAGGACCAGAACAGTTAGTTGAATTGTTAAGTTACTTTGACTAGAATTGCACACACTGACCACTTGTTAACTATTCACCCAGTGTTTCTCAACTTTGGCAACTTGAAGCTGTGTGGACTTGAACTCCCAGAATTCCCCAGCCAGCATATCTCTCTCTCTCTCTCTCTCTCTCTCTCTTTTTGCTATTATCTTATACCAACCTCACAGTGCCACTGAAGAGGACTGGCTCTTGGGGAATTATGGAAAGCTTGCTCCGAAGATCTGCTAAGCCAATGTCACTGATTTTTACTCCGTCAATTTTAATGCAGCCTCCTGAGAGTTCCACCAAGCGAAAGAGAGCCATTCCTAAAGAGGATTTTCCTGGAAAAAGCAAGGAAGATCATAGTTAGCTATCATTTTGAGGAATGTGCAAGCTTGGCCTATATTCATAAATTAGAAAGAAACAAATATGTGATTTTCTCCATTACTATCACAGGAGCTCTTTAGCAGCTGTTTTAAAAAAGAAATTATTTGCTGCTTTTTAATACTATTTTATGTGGAGTCCTTGGTGTACTCTGAGCTTGGTTGTTTGCTTGCAGACATTTCATTACCTGACTAGGTAACATCATCAGTGCGAGGGAGTGTGGCGTTTGCTCTCTGTTTATACACAGCAGCTTGCTCTGCCAGTGTGGGTGGGTGTGTGGGTTTCTCCTTGGTAAATTCTTGATTAGGATATTGTTCTCTGCTTGATTGTTTGTCTGGGGTTAATCCCTGCTTATCTGGGTGTTGGCTTTTGGAGGGGATGTGTTCTGGTCTTTTTGTTTCCTTCTTAGCTTTTTTTTTTTTTTTTTTGGCTTTTTTGAATGGTGTGTAAATGTGGTTTATCTCAATGTGTCAATTTTATAGCCAGTACATCCAAGGCAATGTAGAGTTTTAAAAAAGGGCTTTACAATGCAGTAGACATTATACAAAAGAAAAATGCAAAGAGAAAGAAGAGGAGGAAAAAAAATGCATCCGGTATCCATGACTATGCAGTAGTCTGGAGTTTTTATACACAGCCATGGTATAAGGAATAATATGCCATGCTGCCCACAGAATACGAAACTCTAGTTTCTTGCCCTACAATGCACTTTTAATAAAAGAGTCACTAAATGCACACTCAAAACAGAGAAACAGATTCACACAACATGCCCATTTTGCTGGTTCACAGACAATGCCCTGTGACATCAAGAACACCAAAACTAGGACATTTTTAGGAGATATTTCAGTGAGAAATAATGAGGAGGACTTGTGCATTGGCTGGGCAGACATGTACCCTAGCTAATGTGAATTAGTCACAGCCATCTCCATAAAACTTATTTTGGCACAGAAAATGGTAGTTGCTGCTGTTTTCCTCCTCAGAAATTGTATTTTTCCACCTCCAGTCCCCACAAGGTGGCTCCAGTGAGCTCTTAAAAAACTAAACGGGAGCGGCTAGAGCACCCGCACCTCACCTGAGCCCGTCCTCCCCACGATTCCAATCTTCTCCTTGGGTTTGATGGTGAAGCACACTTTTTTGAGGACAAGTGGCAGGCTCTCACGATACCGCATTTCTGCATTTTCAAAGATAATTTCTCCTTCGGGGGGCCAGTCTGGAGGGGGAGCCTTATTCTTGATCCGAGCTGGGGCTTCCAGGGAAAGAGTCTTGGAATCGGGCAGGGAGGTGGCAGAGAAAAGAGAAGATAAGTCAGCTGTGGACAACATGCTAGGAGTGATTCTTCTTAACAGACTAAAGCTGGAAAGACTTGCGCAATTGACATCAGCAAGTGTCATCAGGAACCAATGTTTACATGCTAGGAAGCTAGTGGGGACAGCTATTTATGGAACACTCAAGGGGCGGTGTGGAGACAGGTTGCCCTAGAGCAGTGTTGCCGACTTGAAGCTGTCTGGACTTCAACTCCCAGAATTCCCCAGCCAGCATGCTGGCTGGGGAATTCTGGGAGTTGAAGTCCAGACAGCTTCAAGTTGCCAAGGTTAAGAAACACTGCCCTAGAGCAAGGACCTAGCAACAGAGCTGCTGGAGGAACCAGTATGTATTATCAGTCAACCACTGATTACTTCTCAGGCAGACCACTGTTTTTTTCAGTACAGTGAACATCACACATAATAGCCCAAAATATAGTCAAACTTTCTCTCACGGAAGATACCTAATCCCATCCATCTTGCTGATCGTTCTCCCTACAAAAGGGTCCTTGATGGCTGTAATTAGCCAACCATACTTCTATATGGATAGAGACAGTTTTATCCATGCTTCGGTAATTTCCCTTTTTAATATGACGGCCGTGTTCTCTTTCACGTATTTATTTACTCAGGTTTGTATACCACTTGCACCTTAAGACCTGGGGCAGCTTATAATACACTACGAGGAAAATAAATTTAGGAGCTGCTGATAAATGTGGATTAGTAACTTCATCCAATCCAAATCAGGACAGCTAAATAGATAATGCAGACTGCACAGTATGATCACCACATGGTAGAACTTTGCAGTCTACTTTAGTTGCATGTCTATTTCTAGGCCCAGTTAGCTGATTTTACCCTTTGCACTTACTGACATGATTTATATCCCATCTGTTACCCCAAACAGCACTCAAAAAATTCAAAATCTTATAAAAACAGTTAAAATCGCTGCTATAACTAACTCAGATGAGAGTATGGCTGAAGAGGATAGCTTTGACTTACATGTAGTCTTCCCTTAACAACCCTAATTGGAACTGGAATTTCCATCGCTAGGCGAAGTGGTTGTTGGGTGAAACATCATGTGACCACACCACTTAGTGACAGCAGTTCCAGTAACCTCAGTTGCAGTCATTAGGCCAGGACCTCATGCTTCTCCTGCCCTGCCACATTTGCCTCCACTTCAACTCCCCCCACCTGCCTATCTCCCCCCATCTCTGTCTTTTTGACTGCTCTGCACTACTGCCTACCCCTGCCACCCCCAGCTGACCTTTACTGTCTTCCTCCTTCTGCTGAGGAGGCACTCCTGACTGAGGCAGCTGCTGGTCCTTCGCAATGCCTAGTGAGGCCTCCAGGTGCACCTCATCAGCAACAGGAGGAATGCTCACTGAATGGTCACTGAACAAATGGTCATTAAGCAAGGACTACCTGTATTTCCCCAATACAACTCCTAAGGGGGCACATTCTTATGGCTTGGGAGCAGCAGAGAAGACTCCATGCAGGCAACAACCAGGTCTCAGAAAGTGAAAGCATCTTTATCAGCATCTCTCCTGCTGACCTGAATCTCCAGACAGATTCATACTGAGATATGGCATTGTGGAGATAATCAGACCTTAACCTATTTAGAGCTATAACAATTAAAAACCACACTTTAACTGGTGCCTGGAAAACAATTAACAACCACTGCAGGTCTTTCAACTTATGCACAACGTGTTGCATCAACTCAAGCTTCTAAATGTCCCTCAAGTAGAATTTCTGAGTCCCTCTTTATTATTGGGGGCCAGTGAGAGGCTAACACATAGAGTGGCGCCTCATCTGTGAAATTAGCCTAGTGCTAAGATTATGTTCTTTTTGGTTCCCGATGAATAATTTTTAGGCATTTGAGGAATTTTTCAGATTTTTACCACCATTTCATTGTTGATGTTACTCACTATGCTTTTGATTTTAATTTTATCTTTAATTTGTACACTGCCTAGAGACTTCTATTACTGGATGGTTTAAGAATATACTGCAGAAATCAACTAGAGCTTGGCAGCAGGAGCAGGGGGCACTTTTCTAGAGACAGGTCACCAGGGAAAATATTGGGCAATGGACAGAATGCTTAAATACCTTGATGTAATGGTCAATCCTCTCCACAGAAGTAAAGCGAGCCTCTGTCTCTGAGGCCAACCTGACTGTAAACTGGAACAGCCCCGTTAACTGAGAAGGAAACAAACCACAGTTACTTGCCCTGCCGCTATGCTGCATTCATTAATCAACTTGTTAGCTGTGAAACCCTCAAAGGGATTATCCATGGAACAACTTATTCCCCCTGGTGGTTGTGGTACCTGAGTCATTCTCACAAACCACACTCCAACAGGAAGGAAACTGTGTCATGAAATTCATGGGTTTCCATTCCTTGTTAGCGGTCAAGTTCCATTAAGTTGCCTGTGTGCGGAAGCACAAGCACCGACAAAAAATACACTTAACTTTATTCACCCTGTTGCCTCCTCAGCCACACCTTATCCCTCCATCTGAAGTTCCAGTTTTTCTTGTCCACGGGCACTTTCTCGTCCAAAGAAGCCACTTTAATAGGGGATGCTCATAACTATTCCACAGTGTCCTCACTACCCTGCTGTCAGCATCGTAGGATTTGGCGGACAGAGGAGCCCGCAGAAGGGAGCTACTTGTTAGCCTCTGATAGAAAGCTAATCCAGCAATGGAGTTTTGATTGGGACACCTGCAGCATTCTTCCAACTGGAGCTCCAAAATGCAACTTCATTTTAACATGCGAGAGAAGCACTCACCTGAACAGCATAAGAGATGGCGAGCCCAGCATAAGCAGGTGGGATTTGGCCGTGCATTAAGACAATCATTAAGCCGGTGGTTGTAATGAGGGCAATGCTGACAATATCCAGTCTGACAGCCAGCCAGCGCATTGCACAGCTGAACAAGTAGAATGGTGCCTGATTATCATCCAGCAGTTGTTGGTATCTAGTAGAAACAGAAAATATTTGCAATGGAAATATCTCATTTTTAACCTGAGCTGGAGGGGAAATTTCACAAAACGTGAAGAACGTAATTCAGTTTCACAAATTTCACAAAACATGAAGGCCATAATCACATAATTTGTGACTGCTACCAAATTAAGTCATCAGCTTATGAACAGTGGCCCGATTTGCCTGAAATATTAATCCAAAACTACGGTTTGCTATCTCTAGGTTCATATGATATGTGAACTTGCATTCTGAGTGAATTATGCCACTATGGCTTGTTCCATAAACCCAAGCTTTAAAAGTCCTGGCTTATGTGTGAGCTAAGACTATATTTCAGAGAAGAAACAGAGTACTAACTTGTACAGGAATTCCTCTCCTTTATTGTAGGCATGGATGGTAGAGAGACCTTGAATGCTCGAAGTGATGTGTGAAAGGAATGGAGACTGTGTAATGTTGTCCAGTCGTTTCAACTCCCGAATGAAGACTCTGCATACAAAGAAACAACCAACTTGAAGTAAGAGATCTAACAAAAAAACTGGGTTGGATAGCTAGCATCCTGGAAGAGAGAAATAAAAATAAAAATGATTTGGTGACCCTGAAGAAGAGAAATGGGCTGAAAATAAAGAAACTGAAATTTAACAGAGAAAAACACAAAATTACATGCCTAGGGAACAAATGTTAATCAAATGTACAGGTAAAGCTCCTTCATGGATCACTGCCTTGTCATGGCGAAGGGGCTTGCGTAACTCAGTGAAGCCATG